AGATTTGAATTCAAGCTCAGCAGACACAGTGCAATAACCTGCTTGTCAAGTCCTGTTGTAAAGGGTTTTAAAACACATAGAATCATAGACTCACAGGACAGTGGTTTGGGTTGAAAGGGAACTTGAAGCTCATTTAGTACCAGCTGCCCTGCCATGGGTAGAGGCACCTTCCACTAGACCAGGTTGCTCTGTGTGTGTAAATGTGCTCTGTTTCATACATGTGATGGAACTGATTCCATTGAAAATGACTCACTGACCCTCCCCAAAGCTGGGAGCTGCTTTCCCAGGGATGGGCATTATTGACAGTTTCCTGTGTCTGGCTCTTCTTTGTGGTTATTGAATCAGAAGTTTGTGTCTTTATAAGATGTGTTTTGTGAAGCCGTGCTCATAGGCAAGGTGAGGTTCATATTAAAACCACATAGTGTGGTCCTGTTTAATTCATCAGGGTTTGTGAGAACTGGGTTAGACCTGGGGTCTCCAAGTGTGTGTAAGTCGCTGCTTAGACACTGGGTGCAGAAGATCTCAGCTGGGACCTCCAAACCCTTGTGCTGCCCTGCGACAGCAGCTGCACTGTGTGATTCTGCTGCTCTTCCCTTCAACAGGTTCGCTTTTGCTTGAAAGTTTGAAAGACCATATATCAACAACTGCCCAGGATCACTGCAAAGCCATCTACCTGCACGTCCTCACCACTAACAACACAGCAATAACCTTCTATGAAAACAGAGACTTTAAACAGCACCACTATCTTCCCTATTATTATTCCATCAGAGGGGTCCTCAAAGATGGCTTCACCTACGTGCTGTACATCAATGGTGGACATCCACCCTGGACAATCTTATATCCTTTACCTTCAGTCTCATTAGCAATGGAGCACACTAAAACCAAACTGTGTTCTGAGCTAACAGTAGCAATCTAGCAGTGTGTGAGCTGGGATAGGTCTGGGGACTGATGCCTGCTCAGGCATGGGTTTAATCTGGAGCTTGGAAGGAAGGTGACATTAGAGGAATAGGACAGAGGCCTGTTTGTCCCCTGATTCCTTTGGGAACAGTTAAGAGAGGCAGTGTAGGATGGTACACTGAGTTCCAAGTTGGAGCAGGTTTGACACTAGTGATAGTGAATACTGGTGTTAAGCCAAAGTGTGCTTGTGGGGTGCAGGATTTCGCCAGGAGCATGGCAGAGAAGCTCTTTGTCTTGCTTCCTGTGACCTGGGATGCCGTGTGACCCTGGCCTGGCCTAGATCTCAGCAGGCTGCTCTCAGACTGGCTTTGGGAGTTCGTTTCAGGTCACTGGATCACGACAATGAAACTTGATCTTTCCTGGGTGTAGCTGGTCAGTCCAAACCTCTCCAGGCAAGCGGATGGATTGCCATCCCACAGGAACCTGCTGTGGAGTGCAAAGGGAACCAGCAGCTCCTTAGAGAAGGTATTCCTCACACAAGTTGGAGCCAGTGTTCCCAAGCTGCCGTCCCCTACAGTGCAAAGCAGACCTGCTTTTGATAGAAAGGAGCAGGCAGTTAATACGAAGAGTGGATCTGTGTAACTGAGCAGAGCAGCTTTCATTGTATCATGGGGTCTCTTTAGGGAGTGCTAGTCCCCAGGGTTATTTTAAGTTATTTCTTAAGTTACAGTGTGAATGTTGCTGTCCTTAACTGGGGCCACTGACTACCTACAGCACATTGGATCAACGCTGGCCAGCCTGAGCCCATGCTCAATTCCCCAGAGGATATATCGGCAGGCCCAGAGCCTCCTCTGCAGCCTGCTCCCCTGGTCGGGCATTTCTGCCAAGAGCGGCATTGAGTACAGCCGGACAATGTGATGGGAGCGGGGGGTACAGAAGGCAAAGGTGGGTACCTGGGGAAGAGCTCCCTTCTCTGCCCAGGGCCAGCAGTGATGTGGTGGCAGTGCCCCATGGCCACCGTCCTGGAGCTGCAGCTTGGCTGCTGGGGAAGCTGCTGTGTAAGGTGTCTGGGGCACAGTGATGGCACAGTGATGCCCCAGCCTCCAGCTGGGGGGCAAACTCCTGTTGGTTCGGTTTGAATGGGGTTTGAAATCTGATCCTGCTTTCTTGAGCCCAGAGCCCGACAGCAGATTAACCTGTCCCTCCTTTTCCTAGCTCTGTTAGACCAGCTTGCAAGACTCGGAGTGACCACAGTCCTTGCTCTTTGCCCAGCACAGTAACTAGAAGCCCATTTGCCGTTGGCTCTGATGACAAGGTGTTCAGGACAGCAGCTCCTCAGTACTCAAAGAAATCCATAACACCTTGTTTCCCTTTCCTTTCCATAGGATTGTTCTTCCTTTCATCTCCTGACCCATCTGGCTCTGCACTGGTGCCAGTGATGACGACAGCTCTTGATCAGTGACCCAGCCACTGGACAGGACTCCTTGTTCCACAGGTTGACTGAGATTTGGTAGACTTCACACTTGCGGGGCTGCAGCCCTGACCTACCCCCATGGCCTCAAGCCCTGGCTGTGCCCCGGCTGAGGGCCCTTTGCATCACCACTCTGTGTGCATGTTGCACTGTCCCTGCCACTTCCCTTGCCTCTGGTTTGCTCCTATTTGTATATGTGATGTAGAGGGGTTCAGCTGCTGCTTCCACACCATGGCTACTGAAAGCAGGGGGAATGGGGTTAATGAATCTGTGCTGACCATGTAAATGAGCTGTAAGTGCCCTGGCAGGATGTGGTCATACCCTTATGGCGAGGGAAGGGGGAGCCGGGTGAGGGGAAGTGGGGATCATGTCTGGGTCCTGCCAGGTCAGGCGCTGGTGCTTCCTGCGGGTAACCTCCAGGGGGGGCAACTGCCTCGCATGAAAACCACCCAGCCCCGCCAGCCCTCCAGTGACTTACAAAGCAGCATCTCATTCAGGATGCATCAAGTAGAAGGCAGGGAATGAAATTGCTATTTCATAGTGAAATATATATATATTATACTGTATAGATCTTTCTGCCTTTGTCCAAGTTGGAATGTCGCAGGGGAGGGAAGCTGGGGTGTAGAACGGCTGCATGCACCCTCCCTCGGCCCTGGGGCTGGACTCTGCAGGCTCTTTAGGGATGAGATCTGTGCACAGATCACAGCAGCCATGGTCTGGGCACCCCCAGGGCAGTGCCAGCCGGCAGTCTCCTGGGGGCTGTCCTGGGGTTGTCCAGCTGTGTCCTGGCTGCAGCAGCCTCCATGGGCAGGCCAGCTTGGGGCTGGGTCTTGGCTCACTAGCAGTTACCATCCAGCCTGTGCCCTTGGGCTGGCACTGGCCATGGCTGCTCTGGTTGGGGGTGCTGGTCCCTCTTCTGGGATCAGAGAGGTCTGACTCAGTCACTGACAGAAGCCAGAAAGGTTTCCATGAGGATAGTCAAGCTGGAAGCTGTCGGAGTCCATACTTGGAGACCTTCAAGCCCTGGGAAGCTGGGGCTGACCTTGGTGTGGGCCTTGCTCTGAGGGCAGAAGTCCCTTCCACCCCATCCTCTGGCTCAGCAGGGCAAGCAGCTGGGTGCAGCTGCAGCAGCAATCAGGCTGAGCGTGGCTCAAGGGAGGCAGTTCTGTAGCAGAGGACCCACAATGGGGTAAGGAGCCACAGCCTAAGCTGGAAGCTTCAGCTGAGGTTGTAGCTGGGTCACAGGGTGTGAGAGGAGCTCTGCTGCCACGGCTGGAATAGGCTGGGGGGGGTTTGGTGTCCCCAGTGTTCCTCTTGCAGCCTGGCTGGGCCCTGCTGCCAGGGCATGCACCACTGTGACCCTCTCCATTCCACAGTGCTTTCCATGGGGAGACCCGAGTCACCTTTCCAGCCTTATTTATCTTGCCACGTTTTGGGGTATTTTTGCTCATCCACTTTTTACTTAAACATGTCTGTTTGTTGGTTTGTGAGTTTCTTTAGGAGCTCAAGCCCCTGGTTTTCCTCTGGACCAGAAAGCCTCTTTCTCTCCTGATTCCCTGGCACTGTTCCCCACTCTCCCTGCTGCCCGTTACACAGCCCAGCTCCACTGCTGCAGTTCTTGGGAGCGCCCTGAGGGGAGCTGTGACTCCTGTGTCCTCTGCCACCCTGCCCCGAGGAGCGCCACTGCTGTCACCACTGGCCTCTAACCATCTTCAATTAAACTAAGCCTCTTTCCGGAGTTGTTTCGCACTCTGTGCTAGAGCTGGCCTCTGAGGGGCTGCTCCAGCACCTTCACCCGACCTTCTGCTCTGCCAGGATGGAGGGTGACCTCCCTCTTGGCTATGATGGGGGTAGCTCCTGCTGGGGTCGGCTGGGAGCAGCGCTGCCAGCACAGAGCCTGCCCAGTACAGCCGCGCTGCTCCATGGGAGTGGATTCTATTACTGCATCCCTGCACAGAGAGCAGGGCCCTGTGCACTGCAGCTGGGCTGCACTGCCTGCTGCAGCAATACCAGTGTTAAGATAGGACAACCCCACACCTCTAGCCCATGCTCTGAGGTGCTCTGGCACCTCCAGCAGCACAGAAGCTTCTCACCAGCTCCTGGGGGGCCTGAGCCATGCTGGACTAACAGCAGCACAGCCTGAACACGGGTTTGCAGCCAGCCCTGCAGCCCTGGCTCTCAGGGGCTGCCCTTCCCTTTCCCTCCAGCTTCTCACCCTGGCACAGCCGGCAGAGCACAGAGCCCTGAGAGAGCCCCTGCACGCCCACACTTCTGCCCCAGTGCTCAAGAAGGATCCAACAGCAGCGCATCCAGCAAAGCCATTTATTCCGCTTTCCTGCTCCCACAGATCTCCAGGTTGAACCCGCACATGTGCCCCCATGCACCAAGAGGAATTTATGACCGGCCCCTCCACGGCCCGCCAACAGTGGCGGAGGTGCTGGGGCAGCCGCCCCCTCGCTCAGCTGCACTCGCAGCCACGGCTACATGGGGCATTTAGAAAATAAGACTTTCTGTTCCTTAAAAACGAAGGTGGGACCTGGCCGCAGCACTGCGCGTCCCTGAAATCAAAGCGTAATTCTAAGGCTTCAGCGCCCTCACATAAGCACATGAACTCTGCAGGGGGCTGTGCACGTTGATCTGGGAAGCTCGCTAGAGTTTAATGGCCATAAAAATACATCGCTTTCCCCTGCTTCAGACAAACCCAGTCCCTCCCAGCCGGGCAGCAGAATCGTGTGGGCAGCAACTGCAGCCAGCACTGGGAAGTTAAAGTCTCTATGGTCTCACCCACGTTTAATCAAGCTCAAACACGGCAGCATCACTCCATGGCCTCAGCCACCGGCTGCTGCATCACAGCCTCTGCTCCCAGTGCCACCGCCTGCTCCAGCGCCTCGGCCACAGGCATAGCCACCAGCTGCTCTGCCACAGCCTGGCTCTCCAGCCCCACCAGCACCTGCTCTGCCGACTCTGCCATCGCCTGCACCACTGCCTGGTTCTCTGCCTGATCTCCTAACTCACTGCCTGTTTTGGCTTGTGCCATAAGCTCATTTGCGGACTTGGCGCCCAGGTTGCCCATCGCCCCCGCTGCATGGTCAATGGGCGGCTTCTTCACCTTCTGCGTGGCAGCCACCGCCTCGGCCAGCTTCTCCTCGGGCACCATGTTCAAGATCTTCAGGGCAAAGAGCAGCTGGAATTTGGCGGTTCCAACGAAGGAGTTGGCCAGGAAGTTGGGCAGCCCGCCCATGCGGTCTTTCTGGGTGTAGAGGGGGACACGGACCATGCCCATCACCTGCAACAGCACAGAGCACAGCTCAGCAGAGACCACAGCAACACCAACCCCCCCCCAGACCCTCACCCAGCACCCGCCAGCCCAGGCCCAGGCCCACTCAGCCCAGCCCCTGCTGCCAGGTGCTGCCCACGCTCCTGCACCAGCCCTGCCCTCGCCTGCCTGCCCTCAGCCCGGCTGAAGCCCCTGCTCTGCCCTCCTTGAACCCTGCTAGACCCCAGCTCTCCCTGCCCAGGCCCTGCACCCAGCCCTGGCTCCATTCCCCCTCCTGCCCCTTTGGGGGGATCCCGCTGCCCCAGGCCGCTATGGGGAGCCCCACTTCCCCTTCACACCCTGCCTGGCCAGCCCAGGGACACCCCAGCTTACCCACGCATCCCCTCACCTCAACCACACCACAACCCACAACCAACTGCCTCCATGTGTGCACCTGCCAGAACGCACCGAGCGCCTCGCGGGCGCACGGGTACACCCTGCCTCTCTCACCCTACCCCGGGTGTCAGCCAGACCCCGCTACCCGGGAGCAAGGGGAGCTGCATCCCACGCTGCCTCCGTGCAAGCCGGGGAGAGCTCGGGTCAGAGCAGCACGTTGCCACAGCGCGGGTCGCGATTCCGGTCCACGTTACTGAGCACAAGGCAGGGGCAGGCGCCAACCAGACGCGAGACGGACCCCCCCTGCATCCAGCGGGTACATGGGGCTCTCCCTATGCGGGCGGTCACCGGGAGAGGCTGGAGCTGGAGCCCACTACGCTCCATAGCCTGAGGCACAACCCCAGCCAACTGCCAGGCCTCCTATCGCTGGTGCTGCGCGGCGGTGCACGGCACCCTCCGCCAGCGGCTCTACATGCGGTGCATTCCCCGCGGGGCTGCAGGAGCCGGCAGCCCTGCAGACCTAGGAGGGAAGCCTGGTCTTCCCTGCAGTGAACGCTCAGAGCTCTACACATCCCTCCCTGGATGTCCCACCTCCAGCCCGTGGTCTCGGGAATGCACCGCGCTGATCTCGATGGTATGCAGCTCCTCCAGGGTCAGCTGCCTGGCGTAGAAGTGTGCCACCACGCGATGTGGCCCCTCTGTCAGGTGCGAGCACAGATAGTCAGCTTCCGTCAGGCGCACACAGCCCAAACCCAAGCCCAGCACCCGATTCAGACCGTCCTCCAGGGACCAGTAACGGCGATCCACGAACCCCCCGGGAAAGCCCAGCAGTCCGTCAAATCGCATCTGCATCTGCAATAGAGGCGCACGGTGTTAATGGGGCACAGAGGAGCCACGGGGGAGGCGCGGGCGTCTCAGCCCGGCACCACGGAGGCCTCCGGGCCGCTCCGGCACGGCGCTACCAGCTCCAGCGCGTCCAGGACACCGAGTTCACCGACACCGCGTCCGACAGCTCGCCGCGGCCCCGCTGCCCGGCAGCACAGCCGGGAGTCCCGGGGGCTCCCCCCCGGGCTCGGGCCCGCCGCCGCCTCTGCCAAGCCTGATGCTACCGCCCTGCACAGGAACTACCGGACGGCCCCACATTCCCCCTCCCGCTGCCCTCACCCGCGACTCCCTGAGCCCGCCTCCCACTGCACCCGCGGCCCGACCCGGCTCGACCCAGCCCAGCCCGGCCCGGCCCATCCCATCCCCATGGCCCCGCCCCAGGCCTGTGCCCGCTCCCAGCCCGGGCCCCCAGCCGGGCCCCTCACCAGCACGGCGTAGCGCAGCGGGATGCGGCCGAAGAGCATGCCCGGGTTGGGCGCGTACAGCATGGCGTGGCACGAGTGGCTCCAGCCCGGGCCCAGCCGCATCGCATCGTACCGGGTCAGCGGCTTCAGCTCGGGCACGCCCGGCACCCCCAGCGTGGGCAGCGGCGGCAGCACCGCCGCACCGGCCGGCAGCGCGCCCATGGCCGCCATCGCCCCCATGGCCCCCATGGCCGCCATCGCCTCGCCGCCCTGCACCGAGACCCTGCTCCGCGCACGCGCAACGGCGCAGAGGGAGGGCGGGACCGCCAGCAGCAACAACCAGTAGGAGCTCGCCGTGCGCCGCTGAGCCAATGGGCTGGGCTCATTGGCTCATTGGCTGGGCGGCCAATGGAGGCTGCTGACCAATGGGCTGGGGCGCTGCCACCGCCTCGCCCGCCATATTAGAGAAAAGGAGCGCGGGGGAACGGCGGCGCTTGCCACCAATGAGAGCAAGCCTTGGGGTCGTGGGCGCGCCGAAGAGCACGCCGGGAAGGAGGCGTGCGAGGGCAGGAGAGCGTCTCCCCACCCCCAACTGCGCCGCGGCCTCGTGGCCCCGCCCCTCAGCCTCATGACCACGTGCCCAATAGCATAATGGCTCAGCTCCGTGGCCACGCCCCTCACCCATGTGGCTCCGCCCATCAACCCCCAAACCACGCCTCCCGCTCGCTGGCCCCGCCCCCGGACCGGTTCCCCCTTTCCCAAAGCACGGACTCTCGTGGCTGCTCCACGGGTTTATTACTACAAACACAGAGGGGGGGACAGGGGGGGGGCTCGCCCCGGGACCCGCCGCAGAAGCAGAACAAGGCACACGGCGTGGGCAGCGCCGGGCTCCGTGGAGATAAGGGGGGGATGTGGGGGTCAGCCCCGTCCCACGTGGTTTAGCTCACCCCCGTCCTCACGCTACCCCTCAGCGGAGCCCTGCACCCCGGCAAGGGTCTCCCAGCACGCAGAGCTGGGAGGAAGAAGGCGCAGAGCCCAAGGGGGCCAATGGGACAGGAGGGAGGGCTACAGCTATGTACAGGGGCAGTGACAGCAAAGGGCTGTGCTCCTTGTGTACAAAATATACAATGGTTGTGTCCTCCGCCTGCTGCTTTTAACCCCAAACCTTCCCTTTCCCTCCCCCCCCCGAATTCCCATGTAAAACCACGCCGCCAGCCCTACCCACCGCCCCGTCCGTCACCGCTGCCAGTGGGATACATGCATGTCTGTTACAGAACAACCGCAACGGTGGGTCCCTGGGGCGGTGAGGACAGGCCAGCCCCACTGGTGAGGGGGGAGAGGCTGTGCATGGGGCCCGGGGGGGGTCCATCGGCCAGGACAGGGAGGTCGGGCCCCGCTCACGAGAGGTTCTGCTCGTCCTCCATGTGAAGACATGTCTGCTCAAAGAGAAGGGGCTGCGTGGGGCTGCCGGTGCTGCGGCCAGGGAGCGCCTTGGTGAAGTCAGATGAGCCTGAGGGAGGAGAATGGGGTTCAGATCAAATAATGCCAGTCCTGGGATCAGACCAACAGCCCAGGCCCTAGGGAGAGGGTAATACCCCTGCGACCCCTCTTGCCCTAGAACAACTACATGAGCTCAATGCCCTCTGCCCCTGCTAAGATGCAGATTCAGCTGGGGGTGGGACAGGGACCACTAAGAGGATAGCACTATCTGCCACCAGCCTTGGCAGCAGCCATCAGGGGCCTGAATGTTCATGGAGCCCAAGAGGAGCAGAGCCCTCACCCAGAAGTGCAGTGGGGAGGGCAGAGGTTTCTGCTGCCCTGCCCAGGGCCTGGGCACTCAGGAACAGCGGGGACCCATGTGAGGTACAGGGATGGGAATAGAGCGAGGACATAGCCAGTGTTGCAGCCTGGCTGGTTTGCGGCCCCTCCTTCCCTGTTCTGATGACCAGGATCAGCACCGTCCCCACTCTCCCCGAGGGGTCCTCCTGCCCCACACACCAGTGATGCATAAGAACGAGAAGACGTACCAGCTTACTCCTCTATACCAATAGAGCAGGAATCAGGACCCAGTGCTGCCCAAGACAGGAGGGAGGAAGGCAGACAGAGAGGGAAGGACACATTAGAGAGGTAATCAGAGCAGACTGCAATTCTACGGAAGAAAACAGGCTGCAACGACAGCAGTCGGGGTAAGGGCAGTGCCCCACATCCCCGCTTGCCAGCAGAGCTGAGCACACCGCGGCCTTCCCTGCTGCCCCCCGCTGGCGCAGTCCCCAGGCGCCGGCCCAGACAGTTCCCGTCCCCCGGTGAGGAGTGCGGCTGGGGCAGGCAGGGGAAGCCACTGCCACATAAACTGTGGCACCGAGCGGCTGCAGCCCAGAGAGGAGAAAGGAGGGGAAGGACAGAGACAAAAGGGCGAGGGAGGAGGAGAGAAGGGGGGCAAGTTACCCACAGCTCGCTCTCCCCGTGCTCCGGGCAGCTCCCGGGCCCCACCATCCACACAACCCCTCCGTGCCATGAACCGGCACCACGAGAGCAGGGGGTGCCGCCGACCCCAACGGCGCGGCCGTTACCTGGCAGGTAGACGTCAACAGGAGGGTCATTCTCCGACTGCGTGAGGCTCCTGTGCTCGCCGCAGCTCCCATCCTGCAGCACGTCCTCCAGCGAGGGCGGGCGGCTGCCTGCAAGCAGAGAGCACCAGGAAGCCCCTCAGTGCACGCGGCCAGGAGGACGGGTGAGATCCCAGACCCAAGGAAGCTCCCCAGCCCCACGGAGGGCTCAGGGAAACCGGTCAGACTGGCCCAGGCCATGGTGCCCAAGGGCCACCTTTTCATAGGCAACCTCGTGTGCCACAATGCACCCATCTCTCTTCATGTCCTCAGGATGCTGACGGAGCATCAGAAACACTGGGGCACATCCTGCATGCCCAGTACGATGGCCATGCTCTCACCAGGACCTCAGCTGTATGAGCAGGTAGCCCATGTGTAGAGCTCACAGCAAGGTTTGGTGCTTGGCAAATAAACCAGATTTGTTGCTTTTGCTCCCCTGGTTCCCAGAAAAGACCCTGGCACCTTTCCTGGGTGAAGCACAGCAGCTCAGGGATGGACTTCAGGGGCTGTGTGTTCCTCAGCTCTTATGTTCATTCCCCAGCTGTTCCCATCCCACCACACCAGAGGTGGACACCAAGATGAGGTCAGGCCGAGTGGACACCTACCCTGCTGCAGGGACAAGGCCTCCTCGATCTCTTCCGCTGCCACGCTCTGTAAGGAGAACAGCACAGGTTACTTGTGCAGGCTGGAGGCTTTGCTGCACTTGTGTCCTGCCATGGCTTCCTCCAGAGCTGTGCTCAGGGCCAGGACTTGCTTCAGGGAAGGACCAACAGCCACCCACCAGTGCTGTGGCACCATGGGCTTGATAGAGGGGTTAACATGCAATGGCAGTGGGTAAAGCCCAGCCAGCTCAGGGGAGGTCAGTTCTGACACAGCTTTCCAACACCCCAGCTCCCAAAGAGGTGTTAGGGACACAGGGAGCAACCACATCCTTTCCCCATGGAGCTTATGTGTAAATGAAGGCAGCCAAGACTCTTGGCTCCGGGTTACATGCCAACACGCTCAGCTTCACCCCGTCACTGAGGAAGGGATGGCCCTTCACGAGGCACCTCATGTCCCAGAAGCAGCCCCCCCCCAGGAGCTCTGGCTCAGAGCAGCTCCCCAGCAAAGCACACACTTACTTCTGGAGAGCTGCTCTCCCTCAGGGCCAGCTCAGCCCCGCTCAGTGCTGGCGGTGAGTCAGAGTCCTCCGAGAGCTTCTCTTCGTCCTCCTCATGGATGGGGGATGAGGGAGACCGTAGTGTGCTGTGGCAAGAGACACTCCACTCGCAAGGAGCCGCAGTGCTGCCCGCACCATGGCCCTGGTGGACTTGGTGACAACAGCTCAAGTTGTCACCACCCCTGCCCGTGTCTCCACCAGCAGCATCAGCCAACCTGCACAAGCAGGAGCTCAGCTACTGAGATAAATTCACCAGGGCTGCTGGTATCAGCTGCATGGAGAAGAGCAACGGTTTCTAGGGCAGAGCTTCAGCACAGTAACACAGCTTGGACAACTCTGCCTTGGCAGGGAAAGCAAGAGGCACTGGGCCCGCATTGCTCCTCACACCTCTGGGGGCTCCATTCCCAGGGGGATATCTGGAATGGAGCAAGTGGGAGTGCCAGGAACAAACCCAGTCTGACCCCACCTGTACAGCCCCACAAGGATCACATAAAGGGCACATGCAGTGGGCTGCCCATTCCACAGCATCCACACAAGGCCAATAGAGGAGGCTTCAGACAACAGCTAAAGGGTCTCACTCAGAATTCTGCGCTCCTTAATTCAGGTCACTTCTCTCCCCATTCTTTCGTTCCTGGGGAACTCATGGAAAGCTGAAATCCAGCAAGATTTGGATGTCAAATGCAAATTGAGGGACTAACTGCACTGGAAAGGGGACATTCCCATCCAAAATTCTCCTTGTTAAAAATCCTCTTTCTCTTGGTGAGTAAGCCAGGCCTTAGGAGACATAAGCTGTAACCTCAGCCTGAACACATGGGTGATGCCCCAGTTCTCTCACCAGCACAAGTACCTGCTGGCCTACTAAAAGATACCAGTGGTGGGACCAGCCAGAGTCCTCTCCTGGATCCCAGTACATGTGGCCACAAGCCCCCAGGGCTTACAAGGGGCACAGACCCCTCCATCCCAGTGCTGACCTATCTGGAGACTTGCTCCTCTTGCCCTTTTGGTGGCTGCTCTCCACAGCTCTGTCCATGCCCACAAGAGGCCGGCTCGCAGGGGGCATCCCATCCACCACGCCGGAGTAGTTGATTTCTTCATACAGAGGGGCTGATGGGATGGTGGGGGAAACGGAGCGAAGGCCGTTCAGCGCTTCCAGCAGGGAGATGGGCTCGTAGCCTGGAGGGATGTTGTCAGAGCTCTGGGGGTGAAAGAGAGCAGCGTTAAGAAACCCCCCCCGTCAGGCTGGAAGCCCCCTAGAAAGGGGAGCCCTGGCTGCAGCCCTGCACCTCCACACTGCGCCCCCAGGCAGCCCAGCCCCACAGAGCCTCAGCCTCCTTCCCTGCACCAGCCACACATTCCCCTTTGGCCTGTAATGCTGGTAATGATGCAGGCAAGTTTCCAGAGCAATGCTTAAGAAGCTGGAATGGGGCTGCGCATCCCCTCACCATGCTTTCAAGAGCTGGGCAGGGAGGGTGAGAAAGCAGGTTCCTAACAAAGCTACTGTAAGATGTGCTCGGATTGTTTCTCCTAACAGATGGTTCCGAGACCCTTCCAGCTCAGCAAGCAGCCCCCTGGTGCACACAGCTCCTTCACAGCATGCCCCACGCACCAGCCAGCTGAGAGCTGGTCCTTGGAGCCTACACCTCTTCTGCTTCTCCCGTGGCCTCCATCCTCTCAGCTGCTAACACTGGCTCTGCACAGCCACCTCTGCTAAAAGGCAGGGAAGGGATCACAGAACCACTGTGCCGCTCCATAAGGGAGGATGGCAAAACTGCACCAATTCCCAATCCCTCCTGAGATCACTAAGCTTCCAAAGGGACTCTTGCAAAGACATTAAACCAGCACTAGCTTAGCTCCAAAAATCCTCCTGACTACAAAGGTCCTGAGCACTTGGAGACAAACAGGATTTATGCTGCAGCCTGGAAGGCATAGGCAGCTCAGCCCAGCCTCCTGCAAACAGAGAGGCAAGACTTCAGCAGTTCAGGCTTACAGTGAACTGAGCTGTTTCAGCTCTGTATCCTCATGGCTCTATGTTGTAAGGATGGTGTGTGCCTGCTAAGCCTGGCCATGAACTCCTGTGGCTTCTCCGTGCCTGATCTCAGAATCACAGAGCTGCAGACGTGCTCACCCAGCCTGTTCCAACACAGCTACCAATCTGGTGCGAGTTGATTGCTGAACTGACTCACTTGTGGTCACAGGAGCCAGCTCTGACGGGGAGGAAAGAACGAGTGGCACTTGGGGTCAAGCATCAACCCACACCCCCCAAGTACTGGCTCTGTGATGTTTATGAGCTTGCATTGAAGACCACAGCGGGTGATAGCAAGAGAACCAAGCCAACCAAGGGATCGGTTCGCAGCTGCTGCCATCTGCAGGCGGTGCGGCCAGAAGCCATCTCCACCAAGGAACTCATTTCAGAGGCGCTGCTCTGTGGACAGAGAGCTCCGGGAGACGCGCCCCCGTGGCTGGTGTTTGGGATATTTTCACCTGGCTGTGCAGAGCGAGGCCTGAGGGCTCAGAGGCTGCTCCTCTGGGCTCACCTGGTGACAGCTCAGGTTCTCGGCACAGCTCAGAGGCTGGAGGTGGATTTCTCAGCCAGTGTCTACAACACCCTCACTGCAAGTTACGGAGCCTTCAAGCAACCCTAAGGGCGCTGCTCTCCCCAGGACACTTACCACTAGGCCCCACAGAGCCCACTGCTCCAGCAGCACTGACAGTCACTGTAGGAAGCTTGCAAAGGGACAGGGTCACACCAGACTTGTGATAGCCTCATTCCCTGAGCCCAGCTCCACATTTTCTCCAGACCTAACAGGCACAACAAGCCACATTCCTCATCCAGGCTGGCTTGAGGAAAAGGAAACTACAGACTCCTTGATACCAGTGAAATCTGTAGCTGCATTTGATGGGAGTACACAAAGAGCACAAACAGACCCTTCCTGACCTGAGGGTCCCCTTTACCTCCCCACTTCCCCTTCCCGGCTTCTGGTCCCCCCCAGTTGCCATTCATGCTGTCCCCAGCATGGTGTTCCAGTCACACATTCTTACACCAGCTTGGAGAATCCCCAACCACACAAGCTCCATCCCTCCTGTTTCTGTAAAAGCAGAACAGCCCACTGCAGCCAGTGCTCCTGAATGCAAGTCCTGGTCCAACGGTGCCTGCTTGTCTACCTCTGAATCTAGCATCAGGGTGGAAACCACAAGATGTGTCCATGCCAAACTGCCAAGGGGATGGGACAAGTGCAATGGGTGAGCCAACAGGTCAGCAGCTTGCCCACAGTTCGACAAAGCCTGGAAAACATCTTGGCCAGGAAGTACAAAGCAGCCAGGCTCAGCACTGGAGACAGTCCCTGCGAGTCAGTGCCAGACCTCTGTGGCAAGCTGCTTCCACCTTCTTATTCCTCCACACTCAACCCATGGGGTTAGTGATGGTGTGCAGGGTGTGAGAGCCTGACTGCTCACGTGGAGGCAGTACTGGGAGTGCTGCAGCCTGTGCAGGGGCAAGAGTCAGTCCAGCGTGTCAGCAAGCCCTCACACGTGTGACACTTCCACGTGCTGGTGACACTGTGGGCAAAAGAACTGCCCCAGGAGCCAAACACGACCAAGTCACTTACGGTTTCCCTTCTAGGCTTCCTGCTGGGCAGGGAGACAGGGCTCACTTTAAGGGGTTTAAAGGGACACTGTCAAGAGAAAACCATCTTTAAGGAAGCTGTTTGTTGAGGTTAGTGACATGAAGAGACACACAGCATCTCCTCACCTCGCTCCAGGTGACAGCACCTCCTTCCTCTACACACCATGGTCTGCTTCACAAAAACCCTTGGGGTTTGTCCCCTGCTCTGTTTCTTACCCCCAGTTGAAGGCAGCAGGGGTACAGTGCTGCAGAGGACAGATGGCTAAAACAAGGCTGCTTCTGTGACACAATCCTTCTGTTCCCATGAAGGTCTGCAAGATGATCTGGATGCAGATCTGCTTCTCCTCACTCTGACCTCACGTGTCTCACCAGAGCCAGCTGTGCAACAGCACTGCCCAGGCAATGAATGAGCACCAAGGACACGCAATCAGGCCCAGAGGCCACCAGCACCATGCTTCCCATCCCATGTTTCCTCAGCTGCCTGCGGAGACCCCGATCTCTCATGGAGGCTTGCACAAAGAGGCCTTTCTGCTATGATGCTGGGAACCCTGATGACAAGGGCACTTCATCGGAGCATGCTGCCACAGAGATGTGTGTGCAAGTCAAACTGCCACCTCCCCATTTTCCCTGCTCCCATCCTGCCCAGAGCCTGCCACTTTTCTGCTGGGGTTGGTGCCAAGAAACCTCCTCAGACTGAGGTTTCTGTGGATTTGTTTCCTCCAAAAGACAAGAGGGCACTTGGCTAAAACCAAGTTTATTGATTGCTAATCCACGAGAGGAGAGATCCTGGCTGTCCAGCAGGGCTGACAAGCAAGGCTGCACTGCTCAGCAAGACCAACGTCTGAGTGTACCTCCTGAGGTCCCAGGAACACAAGCAACTGGTGCATGCACAGGCTGCCAGCTTGGGCTGAGATCAGCACCCAGGCTTTGTACACAGGGTTGGGAGGTACTTACAGAGTGCTCGTCATGGTCAACGTTCTGTGCCAGGACAGGGCTGAATGACACTGGTGACAGAGCCCCTGGCTTCTTCCTCACAGCCCGGATCTGCAGCAGGGCACGGAAAGCTAAGAGAGAACAGCAGGCAGGTGACTAGTGGCCATGTCTAGTGTGTACCAGAGCTCCGCAGCTTGTCAGAGACATGCCATAGGCCTGGGGGATCTCCACGTGTACATGGGAAGCAGGGCTGTGGAGCACACCAAAGCCTGGTGCTGTGGTCTGGCTTCTAGTCAATTGAGCTAGACAGGGAAGAGATCTGCTGGCCAAAAACTATGGGTACAAAGTGTTTGCAGAGAACAGGCCCTCCCTGCCCTGGTACCATCATGGACAGGGGTGCTTCAGGCCTGATACTGTACAACACAGTAAAAAAAACATGAGCTTTGCCTTGGGCAGTGCACTACAAGCTACAGGATGGGGTGGGGGGGGGGGGGGTGGGGGGGGTGTCATGTGAACCACTTTGGGTTCATCCAGACCCAAGTCTCAGCCCTGGAGTCCAGATGGTGCTGGAAGCATCGTGCCTGCCACCGGCTGCTGCCCCACCAGCCAGCACTGTGTTGCTGAGAGGCACTGCAATAGCTGCAAACACAGCCAGAGGGTTACTGGGTATAGTCTTGTCTCCAGCACAGCCATCCCTTGGTCCTCCCATCACAACAGCTTTGATCTCCACTCCCTGCCCAAGGTCCCATTTCCTACCTGCAGATCTTTAATATTGTTAGTTCCTCTGTGCCAAGCGCACAGATGAATGAGCCAGATGTGTGTTCTGGTGCAGCTGTGAGAACTTGTTCATAGGTAAGGAAAAGCCCAGGCATTTCCCTGGTTCTTTTGCACCCAGCCGAGAGCAAGAGGACAGAGGTTCAGATCTATCCTTGCTGCCCCTGCACTCCCCAGCAGCAGATTCCCAGGAAGTCTGACATGGGGGTGCTTTCCAAACAAACACAACCTCCTCCACTGCATCGTGCAGATGAGAGAACACTGTCCCTGTGTTTTAAGTTGTGCTATTTATAGTTAAAGCTGTCTGGCACTTCCTCTGATAAGATCTTGCTTTTGCTTACTGCATGTTTGCCACATTTGAACCGGTCAGACTTGATTTCTCAGGCCAAATACCTGCCTTAGGCTCTTTTTTCTTTTGCTAAGAAATACCAATTAGAAACAAATACCTCAGCCCAAGGTAAAACAAATGATCTATAGATTCCAGCAAAAACACAGGCATCATCTCTCAAGAGGCTCCTATGCCTCTGTGCTTTGACAAACCACACTGAATTCAGCAAGTGTTGCCTTAGTGTTGGAATGGGTATTTCACTTTTTCCATGTTTTGGGAGCTAAGCAATGCAGATCCTCTGAATTCTCCCAGCAGAGCAAAAGACTCCAAACTGACTGTTATCTCATCTCTGCCTCCTCATAAAACCAAAGTCAAGTTGCCAAAGGGTAAAACACAAACAATGTAAAGTACTTGGACAGCCCCCTGGTGGGACTGGCTGATGAATGGGCCAGATATGCTCTGAATAAAGCTTCTACATTCCTTCTTTTGGGGGATTTTCCATCATTTTCACCAAAACACAAGATCTGCCTGCATGGCACAGCTCAGAGCACCTGCACCTTCAGATCCACCCCAGGGAGAGGGCAGGTGGCCTGGGAGGCACTGCACAAAGAGCCATTTTCCCCTCACGTGCTCTTCTCCTTTCCTATTCAAGGGCAGCTATTTTAGGTGGCAGGAGTGTTCAGACACCAGTGACAGCAGCAGTATGTTTGATGCTGATCCTCAGGGTTGGGTATATAAAATACACACTCCCTCTCACAGCCTGCACTGACTTAACAGGAGCCTAGTATGGAGAAAGATGCCCTTGTTTCCTGGGCACATACTCACGGAGCCTGCAGATGGGGCAGTTGTTGGCCTGGTATCGCAGGGTGTCAGCACAGGAATTGCACAGACAGAGGTGTCTGCAGGGCAGAATGAGGGTGTCCCGGAGGTCAGACAGGCAAACCACACACTCATTGCTGTTGTCACTGTTCTCGTCATCTGAAGGCTGCAACGAGAGGCAAGACGTGGGCATGTGAATGGTAACAGCCATGCAGAACTGGCAAGGGGCCTGGGGAAATTCCCACCCAGAAGTCCGTGAAAGAGCTGGCATCTTCTTCCCACAGCTCTCAGCAGGGGTTTCTCAAGGACAGCAAGTTCCAGCCCACACAGCCCTGCTACAGGCACTCCTTCCTCCCAGGGCTCTGCTCTCGGCTCACTGAAGGCCAGAGATGAGGGCACTGACTGTGAATCCACAGCTGCCCTTCCGCAGAGCTAGCCTATGTGCAGGGGGGATCCCCTTTTGGGTAGGAATCCCCTTGGCTGAGGAGGACCAAGAACAAGGTCCTGCCTGCTAGTTCCCAGGGTAAGCAGCGAAGTGGTCTCTTCAACAGTCCAGCCTTTCTGCCCCAGAGCGAGCAGCCCATAAAGGATCTGCTTGCTGACTGTGGCAGGCAGCAGGTCAGGCTGCCCCAGGCTGGACAGAAGGTGGCACCCCAGCCATGCCTAGCCCAGTTTCCATAGGTCCTCTGAGCAAGAGAGGAATGCGTGGTTTTGCCACAGCATCTTCACCAGTGTGTCCTGTGCTGGCACAAGCTTCATGCAGCTGCAGGAAAACCAGCCTGGGATGCTCACCCACTCACAGCTATCCCGGTACAAAGGTCAGTGTGAAGCCATCCCACATGAACATGCATCACACTTATCTTTCAGTCAGAGTCCCAAAAACTGGATTACAGCCACCCAGGAACCTGTTGCTTGGTGGAAAAAAACACTCTCTGATCATAAGAGCTCTCTTCACTGACCCCAAGAACGCTACAGAAGTAACACTTCCAAACTGATGATCCAGTGTGGGCCACCCTCCACCTTCACCTCGTCCCATTTCATGAGGCCCCTTTGGTCTCTCGGGCAACCACACGCTAGACCATGGGCAGCTTTGGTGTAAACAGCAATAGACAGCATCTGCTGCTGCCACATCCCCACCCAGCCTGCTGCCTGTGCCAGCAAAAGGCTGCAAGGTCTGCCCCATCACATGGACTCCTCATCTATTTTGGGAGGTAGGGAGGCCAGGCTTTTTGCTTTTCCATTCAAACAGTTTGCCAAGTACACTAGTAAGAACAAAAATGTCCCCAGGCCATTTGTCTGATGAGCCACAAATGTGCGATGGCTTGATCAGGAGCATCATCACAAGACCCTGTAGGACCCAAAGAGAAGCCTTCAATGCTCTTAAATATATCCTGTGCAAAAAAAAAATCTTTAACAAGACTTCTCCCTCCTGCCTCTTCAGGTGCTACCTGGTTGCAAAGGAAGACAGAGATCACAGAATGCTTTGGGCAGGACACTGCATTACTTGGAGAAGAAATCCTGCTTGTCTTGCTCTGTGGCTACTCCTTTTTGCAAATCACACATCACACACAGCAGAACAGCGTGATGCTGAGGCCAGCACTTGGTACACTGCAGTCCAGGTGGCAGCAAAGGGCAGCTCAAAAGGAGGCAAAGCAAGCACAAAGCAGTCACATAATCTGCATGGCGCTGTGCAGCAGGCTGGGATTCAGCAGAAGCTCCTGCCTGAGGATGGGCAATGTTTCTGGTTACAGCACTTACGTACACATCCCTTACTGATGCTGTGCTCCCTCTTTGCTGGGGAACGCAGGCTGCTCTCTGGACACTGCAGAGAGCTCAGTTCACTGCAACCCAAAAACCCCCAAACCAAATGGAAGAACATGAAGGAGCCAAAGCAGTAAAGCACAGCACCAGGTACTACTGCCTGGACTGCAGAGAGGCAGCAACACCGGCCAATGGCTGTTTCTACTGTCTCTGTGCTCTGATCCACCCCTGGGGCACTGATGCCCTTCTCTCTCAGCAATCCCTGCCCCAGGAAACAGCATTGACTCTTATGCTGTCTAAAATTATCTCAGCACAATTCCACTGAGTGTTTGGGCCTTACAACTGTGAGAACATGTCATCCCTGAGCGTCTTCAGTGCCTGCAGGGGTGACACACACTTGACAGTTGTTCTGGGAAGCATCTCCATGTTGCCCTGCCAAGCCCCATAGTTAAGCTCCAAACCAGAAGGTGCAGGCTGGAAACCCACAGCTCCAGGAGCAGGAGGCTCCTGAGCACCTTTACCTTGGTCTCTTGGTTGTTTTTGTTCTCGATGCCATAGATCTCCTGAAGCAGATAGCTCACCCGATCAACCTGGGGAAGAAGAAAACAGTTAGAGTGCCAGCTGCTCTGTCATTGCTGCTTCATGATCACCTCCACTCCCTCCCTCTATCAAAATGTCTGTGTTACATCCACAAAGCCAGCTCCCCTATAGCTACCTGAAAATGCTAACAGAAACAAATATCACAAAGTATAGCTGGTAGAATGAGCTTTTCCTTGCTCAAAAGGTGGTGCCCATCCTGTCTTGTCCAAGCAGGGAGCCCAGCTGCCCACTTTTGTCATTATCAAGATCATCTAAAAACCAAGTACTCTGCTTGTCTCACAGATCAAGAGGGAATATGCACCCACAGTTTAAATAAGCCAGAGGCAATCAGCCTCCCACAGTCCTTTCCTTCTGTAAAGCACTGCTTCACTTTAACCAGCATTAACTTCCACCCATCTTTGTAACCTCAGCAGAGGTGCTGTGCAACAGTTTGTTACTGACACATCCATGGCTGCACATCACTTCTTTGTTCATCACCTGAGAACAAGTCAAGCTGCTGAACACAGACAAACCATGTCCCTTAGCATGAAAAACAAAAACACTTGAGGGACAATCCTACATTAGTGCAGCGTCATTTATTACGAACCCCAGGTCCTTGGTGGCTTCTCTAAACTGGGATGTGTGGTAGCAGAAAATGCTCAAGGACAGGGGGAAGTTCCTCACAACCCCAGACCTGGGCACACTCCTCCAAGCCATGCCCTTGTGCAGCCACTGGCACCTGCCCACAAACTGCCCCAAGCAGCTGGATCAAAGCACATCAGAAAGGCTGACGGTTCAAGTCCCAGCAAGGCAAACCCCTCTGCACTGCGGGGTGTTCTCCCCTGTTCCTGAGCTTAGCCAGGAAATGCAGCACGAGACTCTTGGAGCTGTCAGCAGCAGCTCCTACAAGGATTCACAAAGATACCAGTTCCCTGAGATGTGGTGCTACACAGCAGCTGCCCCAGAGCCAGGTGTGCTCCGCCACAATAGGCAGAATGGTGGAGGGGTTGCAAGGTATCAAACTGACTCATAAACAGGGGAAGCAAAAACTTTCCTCCCACCTCTAGTAACTGTCCGGTTGCCACTACACAGTGAAACCAAGCCACTGGGAGGCCAGTGCTTCAACAGCTCGTGGATCCATGGGTTTTGGTACCTCCATTTGTAATCAGCAGCTCTCCTGCTGTCAAACCAGGTGCTCAGAAGAGCAATGGCTTTGCCATGGGATTTCAGTGCTGCAGAAGATGTCACACACCAAGATGGGGCAGGAGCTAGCTATATCCAACCCATCTGCCAGTTCAGAAATGCTCTGAGCTGGGATGCAGCAGCTTTAACAAACTAATTCCAAAGTCTCCCCATATAACTCAGCATGCAGCTTACAGACAATCTGTTCTAGGGCTGCATTTCATGGCAACGAGGTCAGTCTTTGGACTGCTGAGCAAAACCCTCTGCAGCAGCTCACAACTCACCCAGGAAGTTTGGGAACAATTATGTGGGAGATGTCCTTTTATAACTTGACATCTCAAAGAGAATCTTGTTACAGCATCCCGACTGCTCAAGATGATTGTGATGAGTGACAGCAAGTGCAGAAGTGGTCAGCTCAAAGCAAAGAAGACGCCAGGAAGGAATACACAGCAGCAGTCTGCATTCATTTTAACTGCTTGCCTCTAAAAACTCCCAAGAAGTTCAAGTCCCAGTAGGCAAAGGGTAAGCAGTGCAACATGGCTCTTACTAGAAAGATCTCTAGGTTTTAAAAGAGTAGGAGTAAATACGAAGTAGATGATTGCACACAATGCAGTCCTTCACCTTCACGCTTTTCCAAACCTTCCCGCACCACGTCATCCTTCCAAAGGCTTCTGTTGCTATATAAAGCCTCAGCTGATGCACACAAGAGTCACCAGCCAAGTCCAGGTCATGTTTTTCTGCCAATCCATCTGTTTGTATTCATCCATGCTGGATTTCTTGAAACAGATCAGTACGTACATTATAACTGATCTCAGCTGAGAGAACAAAGCAGTTCAGCTCATTAGCTGCTGCTTCCTCCTCCCAAAGAGCTTTAGAAGTCGATGCACACAAAAGGCACCTAGCAATCCTGGCAATGTCAAGGAGGGGAAGGCAAAGAAAAGCAGTGATGGCGAAGAACGCACAAGGTTACATAGATAGTTTACTCTATACATATCCTCTATACCTCAGCTCTATGCTCTTATGGATGCAGATGTCACCTCAGTTTCAATGGTACTGTGTGATCCTCTAGAAAGAGCTTCCTTCTATTTTAAAAGCCATAGGGGAGATCATCGAAGCATTACATTTTACAAACTGCCAATAAAAAGAAAGTACCCACAACCAAACACAGAGTGGGAAGGTTACATGCTCTGCTGGTGAAGACAGACAGGCACACACTGTTTCACTGCAGGAGCAGCTAACCATACTGTGGTAGGGTGGGAACTTCCCTGAAGAGCAGCTCCAGCAAGACAGCCCTCCATTTGAGGCGTCCGGAGTGCTGAATGGACACTGGCACACACACTGTGGTAGTGTGTGCAGTAACCAAGCACCGACTCAGAGGAGGTCACAGCCATGTAAGCACTAGTTTTTTCTTTTAAATCTTGCTTTTCATGAGCTCACAAATGCTCTTCTCTGATCAGAAAGTATGCGAGAAAGAGGCACTGCTAGTACCACACTGCTCTGCTCTCTCACTGCTCAGGCATCTTCTTCCAGCACAGTGCAGGAGCTCTCCCTTCGAAAGTATGGCTCTTCCAGATGTTCCCAGTACAAACCTGCCTTCACACACTCCATTGACTCCCTCCCAAAACAGTCTCTGTCTGCCTCTATTAAGAGTACCTGTGGGATACAGATCAATCAATTAGCCAGGAGATAATGCTGCAACACAGCCAAGTTAAGCACCAAGGGAAGGAAGCACTAAGCAGGTCAACCTATGGCACACAGGGCTCAGAGCAGAAGTCCATCTGAAGCAGCAAGCATAGCCACTAGCACCAGGATAAAGCTCTGAAAGTGCAGTCACTAGGCATGAGCAAGCCTGAAGGACAGGCTTTGAGTCTCTGCACAGCATTGGTGAGGCAGGTAAGTGAACTACTGAATGCAATTCTTATATGGGATTAACTGATACCTTTTAGCGGCTCTTTTCTGACCTGGGGACTGTAACATCTTAAGAGAAAAAAGTGTGTAATGAAGGCATTTGATGATCTTCTTAGTAGTAAAAGGCTTCTTGATTCAGATCAGAAAACCCTAGCCATCAGTCATGAGCAGCTGAAGTCAAACACATTTACAGCAGAAACACAGCACACATCTGAAGGTGAAGGGATCAACCACCAACATCTCACCTATTTCTCCAAGACATTTCAAGCTGATCCTTGCAGCAGGATCACTACCAGGTTTCCTTTCAGAAGGTGAAATTCTTTGCAATCTTTGCAGTTGCTGATGTATTTCTTTCAGTGCAAGACTGGGTGCAATTTCAGTCTTGATAAGGCACTACACAGCTTCACACCACATCGGATGGGCTAAAAAAGGGCTACAGACCCCTGATGTTTCCAGTTTGCCAGCCTCCTGTCTTCCCTTCCCCTCATAATGTGTGCAGTCTGGGACACAAATGACAGCTTAAAAGCAAGATGATGCTGTGACCGTTCAAGTCCCAGGATACTTGTAGGGAACAGGCAAGATGAGCCAAAAGGTCTCAGTCCCCGGGGCTGCTCCAAAGATACTATGGGCAGAACAAGAAAGCTTGTGTAGGGAGAAGATGATCCCCTCATATCATAACATGCTCACACGTGTGGAAAGCTAAGAGTTTTCAGCCTCTGGGCAGAAAACTGGGAGCCTGAAAAGATATCCATCCACACCACAGAACAAAGAACCTAAGGAGATCAGGCAACATCAATGAACAGATGTGCTTCACACTTCTTAGAATCACAGAATAGTTAGGGTTGAAAAGGACCTTAAGATCATCAAGTTCTTAACACATACAGCATTTAAGCTCACTTACACAAACCTAATTTACTTACACCTATACATGTAAGCATCAGTACTGTGCTTTACCAGCAAGGCAGGAATGTATAGGGAAGACTGGATCTATATAGTGCCTGCCTCCCAGGCGAGCACAGAGACCTGCACTATAGCTCTGCCAGTCCCACTGTTGTATTTCTTTCCCCAACATACATCTGTTTGTGCAACAAACAACCCAACATTAAGGGCTGCCAGCAGCTCACTGCCTTTGTTTGTGATATCCGAGCTAATGAGGTGAGGTCTCAGACTCTCGGTGAACTAACACTAAAGCTTCCCACTGGGTACAGACACCAGCAAACATCTTTAATTAAGGAAAGAGGTACTTACAATTTGCTTCTGTTTCAACGGCTTCACGGAAAAGCTGCCATCAACATGCTAGCGGGGAAAAAAAGGAAATGTATTAAATAGCTGAAGTGTACAAATGAAGAGCAAACAGACTCAAGATCAGAGTTGATGTCTGCTGCCTAAGGAGATAGTGGCATTTGTGTAACAGGGACAGCCTGAATGGCCATTATTCCCAGCCGTTAATGGAACAGGGTATCAGTGCTCCTTGTCTGCTCCAGTGCAGAGCTAGATGGACTTGGCTTAAGTTAAACCTGGCTGAAATGGGTCACAGCATGCACAAAAATCCCTTGACACACTGCATGCTTTCAGGTTGCAAGCAGTCCAGCTGGGTGCAAACACTTCTTCAGCCAATCCAGCAAGACTTGGGAAGGGATATTTGTTAACACCCTAAAATAACATCCAGTTACAGAGCTCCTCTTGAGGACAGAGCCCCAGGAGAGCAAGGGGCTGGCGGGAGGCTGAGAACAAGAATCATTCACTGGATGGAGTCCAAACCAAGTCACATACACTCCACATTGCCACCTTCAGAGCTGCAGTGACTGTCTCAAGCCTTGCACTTGCTCACTGGCAGCAGGCACAGCTGGGACAATTCTGTATATACCTGGTGTCAGAACTGGTGACAGGAATAGTGCGCTATTTCTATTTTCTCCATCCTTCACAAGGGCCAGCCAAACTGAAAGAAAACAGCTCTCCTGCCACAGTCTAGAGAGCAGGAAAGGAGACTCAGGGGAAACTCAAGCAGGCTCTGCTGCTGTGAATAGCTGCAGCCATGCATCCGTTTGCTGAAGGAGCTTCAGAAGGAAGAGACAGCAACATCACACCAAAAGACAAAACAGTCCTGTTCTCCAGGCAAACACAGAGTGCCAAGTGTCTACCTTTGCAAGAGCTGCAAGGCCAGACTGCACAGAGCATCAACCTTCTATTCTGATCCTAAAAGTACATATAAATAGCAAGCAGGTCTGTCTGTCCTCTGAGCATGCTCTGGCAATCATCAGCACTGCTTATTAGCAAGGACCTCCTCTGGATTTATGGACCTACACTTCAAAAGCTCCAATTACTCTAAGGATGGGGAATATATTTTAATGAAACAGGGAGGAGAAAGAACTCAACATGTACTTTGCCCTGTGACTTTTTTTATAAAAAGAAAGATTTTGATCTTGTTTTAAGTATGCAGTGGAAGATGAGAAGTAAGAAGTGGCCCCACCAGACAGCGTCTCCCACTCACAGCACACACAGACTAAAAAAGAAGGGAGGCACTTTTAATCCTTTAGCTCAGACCTGGACACAGGACATAATCCAGCATTGATGCAATGGGCTGACCAGCTTCAGTTAGTTCCCAGTTTTGCCTCATACCTCATTCAAGTCCCTGAACATTACTTTCAGGCTTTTGCCATCAACTTTGTGCATCCAGAATGCTCCAAGGTCCTGCACAGTAGGTGAAATTTACCTATAATCCTTGAAATCCTGCTTCCAAAGATGCAGCAGTTTAAGCCACTTTCCAGACAGAACTTTCCAAAGCTTCACTACTGCCCTCAGGCTAACACATTACCAATATGTGTGTGTTTTCCTACTTTGTACAAGGTGCTATTATCAAGCGCTGGCCATGGGATGTTAGAATGGGAACTTGAGAGTTGGGATAAATCCAGCAAGAGCTCTACTTCATGACTGCAGAGGCTGGGCGTACTGCAACAGGGCTATGTTTGGATACTTGGAAAATAGCAACTAGACACACTCCTTTGTACGTAAAAATCATACTTGCAGCACCAGATCCAAAGCCTTGACTGAACCTTGCTACAACAAAAAGCTACATAGGCAATAGGTGGTGAGCACAGGCGAGTCTCACAGATGAGTCTCACAGATGTGGAAGGCAAACAGGCATACCTTCAAAATCAGGCTGTAATATGCAGGAAGCTGATGGTCTCATCTATTTTTCTCTCCTCAGAAATGGCTGAACATTCATTTTGCAAGACTGGGGTTCACCACATACTATACTTTCCTGCCAAGATTACAGATGGGCTAAAAACACCACAGCTTAACCCAAGGACCCACTGTCCACTGTCCTCTCCCTGGTGCTGCTGAACAACTGAGAGATTTCAGTGTGCTTTGTTTTTCCAGATAAGATGGAGGAGGAAACTAGAAGAGTAAATCCCTGCACTAGTCCCAGGGGTGCTGAGGTGCCCACCTCATCTCTAATTGCCAGAAACAGAACTACCTACAGAGTCGGTGCACAGTGCAGCCCTTCTAGCGTAGTAAAACTCATCTTCTTCATTAACTCAAACAAAAAGCAACCTAAAAAACTTAAGAGCCTCTTCCAGCCACAGGGCTTCTTTAGGACTGACTGTGCTTCCTATGCCCTCTGACTCAGCTTGTCACCATCCACATTATCCACCCAGGAGGAACAAAATAAGACCTGACAACTTGCTCAAGGACACGGCAGGAACCAAGCAGATTGAGAAACAGAAGTCAGACACATGCCAGTAAGGCATTTCTTAGAGCACAGAACTGATGCTGTTTCCCTCTATATGCCCAGCTCTGCTCTATCATCTCTTGCCTCATCTTAGCATGTCACTACAAGTATCACTTGCCCAGGATACGTGTCTGCAGTATTACCACAGCCAGACACAACATGATGCAGTTATGGATCTTGCAACTGTTTTCAGGGTCCAAGTATCATGGGAAGAGATTCTGTTATCAAGGTTTGTGGCATACAGCTTGGCTTAGCCTTACCATGTAGGCTGCGGTCAGCTACATCAAACATGCCACTGAAAAGTAGTGAAGCTCAAAGTCTTTATGCAGGATATACCCTAATTATTTACAAAGGCTTGGTCCTACATGCAAACTAAGGCCGCACAATGGTGCAACAGGGTCTGGACACATCAGATCCAGTTCTGCAAAGAGATCACCATGCCCTGGAAAACCACATGGTAGCAGCTATGGTCAACACCTTCCACCCTCAAACATCTCAGCCACCGAGGCACACCCTCTCCCACTCACAGGAAACACCAGCTACAATTAGCTGAGTGACCAGCTGAGGTACAAATGATAATTACGGGCTGCACAGGAGCTGCTGCAAGCAATTATCTGCACAATAGCACTCAGTCAGGAACCTCAGTCAAGGGCAGGACTCCACTGTGCTAAGTGCTGTATAAATACAAACTAATGACCCATGAAAACATCTACATATGCAAGGACAGGGACAGATGGAAAAAGAACTCATTTACCTTTTCAAATGCAGCCAGAAGAACATGGGCATGACCTGTCACCTCAACCACCACTGCAAAAATAGAAAGAGCAGTCCTGGTTAAACCTTGAAAATAGCACAAGCATAAAACTACCCCAAGCTGCATTTCAGTCTGTTCACAAATTCTGAACCGCCATCTGTTCTATTTTCATCTCCTCTTGCAATTTAAAACTCTTCTTATCTTGTCATCTTGCACTCCTGCAGAGCAAGAACAAAACCCTGCTGGGCTCTACAGTGGGCCCCATACAGACATGCCTTCATTATCTCGGGTGCTCCAAACTATTCCACTTTGTTTTCAGAGGCTGGAAAGGGAAAGTAAAACAAAGTGCTCAGTGGGACTCCACTCTCCCCTCAAATTCCTGTTTTTAATTACCTGAATTGATCACAGAGATTAATAAATCCATCTGGTTTAACTGCAGTTGGCAGCACTTCCAGACCTGTTATTTCTCTCTTTATTTCAGTCTAATCTGACACACTCATAAAACATTTATTTCTCATACCAATTCTGGACATAAAACATCTCTGTCCAGTTCTCTGACTTCTTTTCCCCAAAGACAAACATCATATCTTCCCTCTTAATCCAACAGCACTGAGAAGGGTCTGTCAGAGGTTTCAGTATTGCATCCATGATTCCAAAAGCAAATATAGAAGAAGCGGAGGTACAATCCCAGTCTCCTTGGCTCAAGGCTTTAAGGTTCTGTTCAGCTCCAACTGGTTGGATCCTTTTGCTTAATTATGTTCAGACTCATTACATGGAAATGGAAGACAGAGGCCGTAGAGGAGTCATGGAGGGAAGGGAAGGCATGTATCCACCTTGCCCTGCCCGGACCAACAAGTCCCTGGGCTGTGCTCAGCACATACAGAAGAGCTGGCAGAAACTATCAGCTCTGTGCCAAAAAGCTGAAGGAAGCAACTCTTGAGTTGTCTAAAAGGGAGGGGAGCTCAGCAGCTTCTTTTGGGCCTCCAGAACAGCAGAGACAACAAGAGGAACCATTCACTGGACTACAGCACAAAGATCAGGTTTGGGAACAGCAGCAGATGGGAGAAGAGAGTCCATGCCTGCAGATTTGCTGGTAACCAAGACTTGACGTGGCAATTTGGGTGCAATTGGGAACATAATAGCATACAGAAAAGAAGGCTAAAACTAGGAATCCATCTGCTTGCTCCCCCCACTGCCAGCCAACAGCAAAGCTGCTCCAGCTTACTCAATACATGAAATTCAGGACTCTCCCAGCAGTTTAAATAGCCAAGAAAGAGATACCAGGCATCGCTTGCCTCATATCCTCTGTGGCATTCAAGCAGCATGTGTGGGTGGAGCGGTGCAGCGCCTTCCCTCCCCAAAGGGTTTCTGTACCTTTCCTTGAGAGCCATCCCGCTGGCAGCAATGTGAAAGGGCTACCACTGCAAGCACACATTCTCCATGGCATGCACACATCTCCTGTCAGAATTCGATCCAAACCAACGTCTCACTGACTGCTATTTTAATTTGCCATTCAATTTTATTTAACACAAGCAGTCACAGGCCAGCTGTAATTTTCCAGGTGCTCCAAACACACAAGGCCAGCTCCTTCCAGTCCCAGCAGTTAAAAACAGAACCAAAATACACAATTTCCTCATTCTCGCTCAAGTGTCACATATTTCTGTGCTGATACTCTCTACAGGAGAGGATTTAAAAGCAATTGCCTTTCCAGGTTATTAAAAGAGATGACAGGACACTATTGCCTAAGACTGGGCATGGTATGTGCATAAATGTACGCTTCCCATGCTGCCTTCTGTTCTATTTTTGGTCCTTCTAGGCATGCCCAACATTCAAAAGTACAAATACCTTGCCAAAAGCTCCATAAACAGAGGGTGTTTTATATTTATGGTCAAGAAATATACATTTACGTCAATTTTACTAGCAGTGCCCGAAATCACTAAAAATAGATGCACTTTAGAAGTAGTTTCTTTTCTTCTATGTTGCACTGTGCTTTGTTAGTCACACTTTAAATTGGTTGATCCAATTTAAATTGCTTCTGTTTCACTGTGCTTGGAGGACTGTAAAATAAGGCAATGAATTTCTGGGCAATTTCACATCTATAGCATAAGAAACCCGAGCAAGTGACGGCACTAAACAGTGCAATCAACAATGGGGGGTTTTTCCTTTCTAATTATTCTTATCTATTGTACAAAATGTTACAAACAGTAGAAGTGAAATCCTGGTCCTGCTGACCACATCAGGCCCTTGCTTTAGAGAATGTAGGAGTTCCTTGTGTGCTTTTCATTGCTGATGGTTAGAACAAGTGCAAACACATGGAGCCCAAAAGCACACTCCCCCTAAGGGAAATACTGTGGAATGTAACAATCCAAGCATTTGTTGGACTGCCCCCTCCAAAATGGCAATATGCTTTAAAAATAATCAACAATATTATTTATCAAAGGTTATGCTGTTTAATTGTAACCATTCAGCACCATTCAGAAGAAGCAGAAGAATCTTAAACTGTTGGAAGAAGCTGTATCTGGTTGAACAGTGGGTTAAGCATTTGAAAGCCATTTCTTTTTCTCTAACCATTCCTAGGGGAAGGCCCATCCTACAGTTAGCTACAGGTTTTATGCAGACAACTCACCCTTTAAAGATGGGGAAAAGACCAACTCCCTTCCTGCCTTACAAACTGCAAACGCAAAACCCAAAGAGAAAGTAATCCGCTCTGATTTGTCCCTGTCATTGGTGGCAGAGCCAGGAGCTCACCAAAACACTATCCCAACACTAAACACCTGGCCATTTTTCCTGTAAAGAAATGAGGCTATTTTTAAAAGCATGTTTTTAATTAAGAACCCACGGTTAACTGGGCCCTTTCAATACAGGGAAGTTAAGGTGAAATCCTGAAATATTTTTATTCTGGAACGGTTCCCGAAGCCTATGCTAGAAGTAAAATGTTTTCATCGTTGCAGAATAAGACCTGCCCTTAAGGAGTCATATAACCTCAAAGAGAGCTAGATGACCATGGGAGCACACCACACCATATGCTTACCATCTCCTTCATCCACCACTGCTCGGATAACCACAGGAAACACACCACGATCCAAGTCAAAGTTCAGCTGAGAGAGAGAAATGAGAGGAGGTTAGACAATTTACACCAGGCTTGCCTGAAGACAATGCTCGAGATGGAGGTAACATCAGGGGAATGAAAGCACCTTCTGACCCAGTCCCTGGTCTCAAAATGACACAAAAGAGCAGGAGAATTTAAAATTCAGGCACCACCTTTCAAAGGGAGTCAACCAGAATAACTACAACATATCCACATGTCCCCGCCCATGGCAGGGGGACTGGAACTAGATGGTCTTTCAGATCCCTTCCAACCCTAACCATTCTGTGATTCTATGATATACTGACTATAGCACAGCAGTACACACTATTGTTCCCTACATTACAAAAGAAGCCCTGACTCTGTATGAAGTTCCTGAAGACATAGAGCAAAATCTGCAAAACTTTAAGCTCACCCAACACTTTAAGGAAACACCAGACTGAGTTCCATCACTTGGCATGTTATGAAATTCAGGTCCTTAACCTTCTAACTGGAGAGAGTGAAAATTTAAGATCTCACTTGAGTGCAAGGAAAACAGACTCCATTTCTTCCTTTGCCCTGCACTTCATTAAAGCACTTCAAAAGCTCCATGTCATCTTAAAAACACAAGAAAAATGCAACCTTACAAACACGATCCTATGCCAAGAATGGAAGTGGCTCAAGAGACTGGATTTCTGGTGTTTTTTGTTAATTACTAGCTTGGATTTCTTGGTCTCATCTCTTGCCAAGAGAGAGGAAGCTATCATTTCACCAGGTAGTCTATTTTCAGTTGTCCAATGAAAACTGAGACCCAGTTCGAAGCGGCGCAGCACCACTCAGGTGATGCTTCAGGGCTCCCCTCACTTTCCCGCAGCCCCAACATCATGTGCAGCATGATTTTGTCCAGCTAGTCACAAGATAAACTATCAAGATAGCTGTTGACATTGGCACAAATGGCAACCTGGAACACTCAGAATGCAGCGAAGGTGACCCTCACCATGAGATTTAACATAGTTGAAAATATTTCTCCTCATATGAATTACAACCTAAATGTTCACCCTGAAATGAATGGTAACTGTATACCAGGAGATGATATACCCGGTGAACCACCAGTCAAGTATATCATAGCCATTAGCCACATGGCTGTGCCTCTGCCAAGAGCTGCAGGCATGTGCTTTGGACTGCAACAGCTCACCAGCCAGGGGAAGAGAGGACTGCAATTCTGCTGCTCTTCTGTCCATAGCTGCATGCTCCTCATGCACGTTACTTGCCTCTGGGGCTACTCAGCTTCTGCAGTGCTTTCTGGAAGTGACTCTTAGCTGCCTAACAAAGCTTCGCACACACACATCTGTTCAAATGTAATTCCAAACAGGTATGTGCTAAAAGACCTTATGACTTGACCGAGCTGGTCTTCAAGCCCGAGGGACATTGATTTTCATCCTCTGTACAAGAGTTTCACATTTTATTCCTCTTTTAAACTACCAGAATCCATTCTCTTTCCAGAACAGCAGAGTAACAAAGCAAACACAAAAATCTCATTTAACCACTCAGTATTTGTTATAGGAGAGTTCCATTAAGCCACTATTTTCCAGCCTGCATTTTTGATCCTTTATGGCGTGCCACAGAGGGACATTCACTGAGGACAATTGATTAAAATTGCTGAAAGCAGCTTATGGTTTTGCTTTGCTTCCTGCTCTGATTTATTATAGTACAACAACAGTTACTGTTTGTCAATTTGAAGGGAAAGTCACATCACAGATTTGTGGTTGCTTTATAACAAACTTCTGCATTCTTAAACAAAAGGCCTCTTTAAGGCTCCATTTCACATTCATTTTTAAGGACCTGCAAACAACTGCCTCAACACAAGCCATACGCTGTAACTCGCAAGCAAACCAGTATATTATGAAGACATAGTAAACTTCTATAAAGCTTTCACATAACAACCCAACAAAACATTATTTTCCCTTCTGTTGACCAGCCAAGAACTACATCATATGCAAGTATTACAGTGAGCAAAAACATGAAGTAAATCTGGGGGTTTTGGACAACACCAGCAGCAATGCTGGAAAGCAATCTGGAGCATGCAATTGTACACAGCTCAGTGATAACACTCTGCCAGCTCTCTCAGGTGTAAGTGCTGCATTTCAGTGGCCACTTAAGATTTAGCTGTGTGCATTTTACTGGACTTACAAGGACAAGGATTGATATGTACACAAAGCCCAAATAGGAGAAGAAACTGTTCCGAATCACAGTGCTTGTTCTGCATTACCTCCACAACCAGAGCTCCCAGTAACACCAGTGTAAAAAGGAGGAGACAGAAGATGCAGCAGAATCAAGCAAAAGGAACTAGAAGCTTTTCTGTAGCATCTCTCCCTTCAAGCTGTCAAAAGGGATGTGACTTTGGTACTTGAGTCAAAACCTTGCTGGCAGGAGCAAAGGTGAAAATTAAGTTTCTCAATTCTTTAAGAAGAAAGGGATCTGAGCTCCTACTTTCCAGCTGTCTCAGATGACAGAAGGGGTTGAAAAGCAGTTCTTCCAGGCTTTTGTATGCTGAACTTGTGAAATCACATATTGGCAGAAAAGCCAAGACATCGGGAGACCAGACTCTGCAGGCTTTTGGTAACCACCATGGCATTTGCTGAGGCACGGGACTGATTATGGTTATAACTGTAACTTTGAGACAATAGCTATTCAGTTTTTCAAAATACATGAAAGACTGCTTTTTTTTTCCCCTTTTTTTTTCCTTCTCTTTTTTTTTCTGTTTTTTTTTTTGAGGGGGGGTGTTTTGTTTTTTTTTATATTTCGAGTTATCTGTCAGGTTTCACTTATACAATACAGCCTTGGGTCAGGAAATGAACACTGTATCATAGTTGATCTGGGACAGGGGTCCACAGGAACAAATACATTAGCAGCAGCTACAGTCCAACTCCTCTGCATCAGGAATCTTTTATGGCAGACCTGCAGAGATCAGGGGAAAGATCAAGGCCTCCCTGCCCTGCACCACATGCAGGGGAAGCCCTTGAGCCAGGGGCTCAAGAAGCAGTGACTGCCTGGGTTGGAATTTCACGAAGATACTAAAATTAATAGTATTCCACAGATCTTGCTATGTGGTAAAAGCCACAGAGTTTAATTAAAAACAAGCCTTCCTTTGTTTGCAGTTATGGGTTAAACTAAAAGAAGGAAAGGCATTCCCTTATTCACCAATAATGCACCAGTGTGAACCTGCCCCAGAAGGGAGAGTATCCCCCCACCTCACTGTACTGCTACATTCAATAATGCAGGATGTAGCCCTTCAACAGCAGCCTTCTAGAGCAGTAATCTATAAAGTATTTTGACTGCTCATCCAATCAGTAAAAAATATTGAGAACGTACTCCCAATACATGTGTATTTATTATTTATAAGATACATAGGAGCACTATTGAAGTTCCTCCCTCCACCCCAGTGAGCTGTCTTGTGTGCACCCTGCTTCAGAGAACAATGGTCCAGGGGACCAGCCAAAAAACACCCAAAACAAAACCCCACCAAGACAGACATTTGTTCCCAGGAGCTCTTTGGCTGTCTGGGAGAGGAAGGCTGAGGAGTGGCATGTTCCTCCAGGAAGAGCTCCAGTGCCAATCTCTGCAGTCTCCCTCCTACACTAGATGCCAGCTGATCAGTGATATCAAAAGTTGCTTCTTTGGGTTTCTTCCCTGTTTGCCTGAACTACCTGCCAAGTTCCCATACAGTGTTCATATCTGCTCCTCCTGGGGCCCCATTCATCTCATACCCACAAAACAGGCCGTGGCAGCTGGGAAAGGGTGTTCTACAGCCATAACTTCATGGCACTAAATGGAGTCTAGTGCTTCTGGGCCAACAAGCTTGTGAAAAGAAGGGGATGCTGAGAAAAGACTTACCTCATCATCCTTCCAGTCTGAGAAATCTATCTTGAAGGAAGGCAAGGAGAATTGCTGGCTTACCCCTCTCTTGTAATGAACTGTCTCCGACTGCAGAGAGGGATTCTTTGTGCTGTATCTGAAGAAAGAAGGGGGAAAGAAAACTTGCTGTAACATGTGATTGCTCTCAGCTGGGCTCTCATTCATTCCACCCATCTGCCCTTCAGGAATCACAAGTGGCAGCTCTAAGAGGCAGAGCTGGCAGGGGCTAGCAGCCATTCAGTGGGGATACAGAAAAGGAAGAGGAAGGTCAAAGCAAGAAGGTGAGCACAGGGAAGGGAAAGCAGCACAGACAGGCAAGGTCTGGTTGGGTCCATATTGAGCTACCTGGGAACACTAGGTGTCAGAGGAGTACAGTGGGGTGCTGCAGCCTGGCACAGGCTGGCTCACTAAATCCAGGTCCTAGCCAATGCTGGCTTTCAGCCCAGCACACAAATCGCTTTCTGCGGGGAACCCAGGAAGAAGCAGCAATGATCTAACAGTGGGAACACATAACCCAGCACAGTGGTGAAAGCTCTCCCGTGCCTCTGCAGGACAGCTCTGCAGTGAGAAACACTTGCTTGGCTCACCATCATCCCAGTAAGCAAGAGCCATTCCAATTCACTCCTCTATTCTTTGTGTGCTTCCCCAGAGGTGTTGCAAGGGCAACCAACATCACCAGACACACACCAACCAGTCCCCGGTACTGGCCACCTACAGAATAGTCACAATTCCACTGTCTTGAACCCAGCACTGAAATACCAGTACTGCCATGCTGGGATGAACATCTCTGGCACAGGACCATAGCTACCATCCACCATCTTCTGCATCCAGAGCCCCCCAGCCACGTCTGCCCTGGGAGAGATCTTTCATTGCCCACTGACTGTCAGTACGATGCACAGTGGGCTTCAATGGTAAAACAGGATCAGGAAGTTTTCACCCCTTTCTGAAGGGTGATTTCTGAGCTGGATAGGCACAGCCAGTTCTGGCACGGGAGAGGAGGAAGCAAACTGCAGAACAGGGTGGGAACATCCGAGGCTGTTTTTAACACCGAAGCCTTTCCTGTTGAGCTACCAACCGTGTGTTCGGAGCATGTTGACAAACCAGAGAGAAAGTGAGAGATCCCTTGCCCAAGAGGCTTACACTGCAGAAACAACAACCTCCCCCGGCACAGTGACAAGACAGGTCTAGCTCCAGCTCGACAAGACAGCCAGCCAGTCATAGTAATGGCATGTTATCTCTTCTGCACACTAACCATCACTTCCTAAACAACACTTCACACGGTGAGACTGAGAGCATGCTGGCCTGCAGCCACTGCACACTGAACAGTTACAAGCTTGAAGCCTCGTTGACTCTTCAAACTTGATTGCCACCTGTCCCTGATGGAGCAGACAGCACAGGGACAGGCTCCAGGTACAGGTGTCACATTAGCACCAGGAACTTCAGGAGGGTTTTCTTAATTCAACTTGTGATGTCACACCGGATCCCCTATAACCACCTCCTCAGATCTTGCTGATCCCATTTGTCAGAGAATACATGGGCAAGTATTACTGCAGCAAAGGAGGCAACAGCAGAGAAGATCGAGGCATTTGCTGTGGCAGAGTCAGTGCAAAGCCCCATCAAGCAGAGCATGCACAGAGGCAAAGAAAAGAGAATCCTTGCTTGAAAACGTAATTCTGTACTTTTGAGGGCAAACACAGACACAACTTACAGTTCACCAGGTACATAAGCAAAGGTTGGAAGCTCCAAGTTCCTTTGGCCCAGCTACACTTTGTGGAGGAGTGTAGCACACCAGAAGGGGATGGCAATACAAAGCTTTTCTACATCCAAGGTAATGCCTCCTGGTTTCTGTAAGCCAGGAGCAAGAGGGCTGAGCAGCTCATTGCCAGAGGGGGTGAAGCAAAATCCGTGGGAAAAGCCCATGGGGCAGAGTCAACCAAGAAGTGCAGAACTAAGCATTACACCAGAGATGTGAAGACTGGGCTGGAGGATGGCAGAGATGATTACAGAGGACATGCCTGAACCTTAAAACTCAGCTTCAAGCGACGCTGTGAGTGAAAACTTTAACTCAAGAGCTTTAGCTCACAGAGCCAGTGGGCTCCCCTCCTGGGCTCAGGCCAACCAGCACTGTAACACAGAGCCTTAAAGCACAATGATTAGGGTGCATTCTGCGGCTGAAGGACAAGAATCTGGATACCAGAAGATGATGAATATCTATTAATTTCTCTCAAATCCAAGGAGGAAAACCCAGGCTCTGCACTGGCATGAACTGCCTTTCTCTGGAAAGCAACTGTAGTACCTGCACTGTCTGAGGATCCAGCAGTTTTATCAAGTGTTACAAGATCCATGATCTGGAAGGCCATGATGAAGGCTGAGTTCACCACGTACTCTGCTTTCCTGCCGAGGCAGGTACATCATGCTATTTATGCCAATACCTTACCCTCAAAGGCCATTCTGTACTGCTCTGAAATTGTGCTGCTGTACTAGAAGGTCTCACTCCACCCTTTGCATTTAAAGCAGTGTGGGAGAGATCAGAATGACAGGTCTTTTATGTGTGAATTACAGAGCAAGCAATTGAGTGAAGTTTTATTTACTGACTTGTCAAACACAATGAATAGAGCAAGCCTGTACCTAGCTCCTTTTGTGGTGCTCTCAAAGCTTCCCAGCTCTGCAGAGAGGCACAACTCTACAGCTGGGAAAGCAGGGGATGGAAGAGTGACTTATCTAAGGTGACAGCAAGTCAGGAACCCACTGGAAATGAAGTGCAGGGGAGAGAGTGGAGCTGGGAGAAGGGTGTAAACATGCTTATGATGCATGCCAGGAAAGGCAGAGGACCTGCACTTACAGCACCAGAAGCTCAAGCCAGTCTACAACAGGAAAACAAGTAACCCTGTTCCAAGGAAGACAGGGTAGGACAATACTCTCATAGACTTGCTGCTCTCACTATCCCTGACAAAAGAAATAAACCAGGTACATAGATTTTCTGAGCTGAAGAGTATGACAAAATACCAAGGAGACTTCCACAATGAACCAAGCGAGCCTTATGTTTCAGACTGTGTCACTGCCTAGGCCCCACCGTCAAACTTTATAGTGTATTTGGATCTGAACACCCAGACAATGATGGGGACCAGCAGCCAGTGCTGAGGCTGCCGAGCACCAGCAGAACCAGAGCCTGGTGAATTCCCTGAAGTGCTGATCCCAGACTGTCACAGAAATCAACCACCTTTCTGAGGTGATGCACAGGATCCACTGCACAAGTACACCCTCCTCATGCTGCACAGCAGCATAATTTGGCAGGCTGTTACAAAGCAAGTATCCTGCATATTAGTGTCTAAGTGGACTCTACCCATCCCCAGCCCTTTTTGTTGCCATCTGCTGTATTTATAAGTGTTTTACTACCTGCCTGTGCTGTTGTGGGTTTACAGCAAACAGCAGTGGAGAAGCTCTGTAGAGTTGCGGAGATGTGTTACAGCAAGGAGAGCATGTATTCAGAATAAAGGATAGCAGAGAAGCAATGCACTGCCTCTCCCTGCATAAAGGCTGAAATCTGAATGTCTGGGCTGCTGTTTATCAGACTGCACCAGGCCAGGTCTCCATCCAGACAGGAGATATAACAAAATCACTTCATGAGCACTGTCAGCTCAGGACACTGGAGAAATGGGGTCTGTTCTATTAGGTCAGGACCAAACAGAAATCCCTGGTCACATCTTTTTAAACCTCTTTCTTTGCTCAGGTACAGTGTGCAGTGTGAGAATCACCAATAACACGAGGTACCACACTGCTGATTGCAGCAGCAGCCCCCAGCTCTGTCCTCAGGATTCATGCAGCTCCTCTGCTTCTGTAAGCTCTTTGACACATCTTTACTCTCACAAAGCAAAGCTTACACTCCACACTGACAGCTTCCTCCTCCACATCAAAGCTTTACCCCCCACCAAAACCACCTGTGTATCGGAGAACCAGCAGACGATAAGCCCTGTGGCTACAGCACCATGATTTCTGAGAGAACAAGAAACAAACTAAACTGTTCCACAGTCTCACTCATCCATCATCATTTGAGAAGCACTCACTACCTGCACAGAGAAACTCAGCTTGTGGCTCACAGTCTTCTCCCTGTAGGCAGTCCGGACCTACTGGGCACCTGCAGACCTTAAGTAGCACCCAAGCCACCAGTGTCATGCTAATGTTAGGGAACCTCTGGCTATGCAGAGTTAAATTCCTGTTGCTACATGCTCAGCATGACCATGTGGGGATGTTGCCCCTCTCACTCATGTCCTCAGTGCCTGGGGAAGTTCTCAGCAGTGTGCCAGTCCCAGCTCGTGCAGACTTTCTCACTGCTGTGTCCCTCAGCTACGCTTGGCACTGGAGCTGCCTCAGACAACTGAAAGATGACTGCTGTTACCACAGGCACACTGGGACCCTTGACCAAGCAAGGATCCTAGCCAGCTTGCCTCAGGGTTATGCAGAGCACTATCCAAACCTCAATCCTGAGAGAAAAGCAGAATGCACAGCAATGTTTCCCCAAGGTACCACTTTTGACTAGTAACAGCTGAGAGGCAGACTGTGCTTTGAAAAACCTGTGGACAAAATGAGAGAGTTCTTTTTCTTTGGCACAGCTCCGCACATTGCATGGCAATTTGCAGTGAGCTGAGACAAGGCAGAGTCACATGAAAGCTTTGCAGGGTACTCAGGAACCAATACTTCCACTGCTGCAGGTTGTGACCACCTGGCAGGCTCCATGCCCTCTTAAAGGTGATGAAGAGGGAACCAGTCATGTTCTGCTGGCATTCAAAGGGCACAGGAGACAGGAGCTTATGTGGAGCAAGCACACTGGCTCTCTCTCCCACCCATTCACTCCCCTTTCATTTTGGGCCAGGATCTCGGGTCAACTTTTGGAGAACAGGGAAGTTGATTTGTTGGAACTGGATAATCTTAAGGTACTTTCCAACCCTAACCATTCTATGACTAACAAGTGTCTCAACTCAAAGTGATTTTTGTTGGTAACAGAAGCACTACCAAAACATAAGAAGGCCATAGCGCTGGGCCTCAGAGTTAGGTAAGACACAGCCCAGAGCAGCTCCCACACAGAGCACGGAGTTCTAC